GTAGTTTTTTAAATTTAGCAAAGCCTTTGTTCTTTCCAGTGAGCAGTACAGTCGCTTAATACTGAGAGATAGATTAAGAGCAAATTATCTTGAATTTGAAAATGAATTTTCTGGAATTTCACAGAGAAATATTGCTATTCTTTCATTTCTCAAAGCAATTAACATAGTTTTGATGAGTCAACATTTACTAAGATAAATCTTTTTGTCAGCAGTTTCCAACTGTATCTAAAACTGTATCTAGCTTTAATGTAGTTCAGTAATAAGACTGCATTTTCCTCCCTAGTCCTTATCACATCGTATACAATCCGAAGATTACTACATTGACTCTAGAGTGCAGAGCTAAACAAGCCCTGGAAATCGAAGCGGCGTGTGCCCCCACAAAGCTCCAGCTGTGCCGATGCAGCATGACTCGGGTGTCTTTATGTCCGAGTTTGCTTTTAAGCTGTTAAGCTATATACCTAGTAAAAAATAAGGCTTGGTAAAGTCTTGCAAGAACAATTGCTGGAGAAGTGAGGATAAGCAGTGCGTAGATGTTAAAATGGACTGTGACACTGTTTACAAATAGTGTATGTGAGTAGATGGTTTACTCATAACAAATACTCCTACTCACACCCAGCACACTGAACTATAAAAGTGGAAAGTATTTATAATAACAACATAATACAGAGAGATGTGATAATAAGCCATCCATTTTAATAAGGAATTAGAATTCTGACCTAATTCTTTCCCAGTAGGATTTATCACTAGCTTATAAATAACTTACAGGTATAAGACATGGCAGTGAAGAATAAATTGACAGAAAGAACAAAATGCTCAGAGACTCTGGAAGAGTGTGATGTTAACGTCAGTGCTCAGGTTCATTTTCTGGCTGGCTAAACTCCGTTAAAGAATTGAGTCTGGGGATGGGTAGGGTATGTGAAAATGATAACTGTGTCTCTAGTAAGTTTATAGCTGTGTTTTACTGACATCTTGGTGAGGAGAGAGAACTGCAGTTACAACATGCAGGTGCAATTTAAATTGACCTTTTCTATTACCTAAGAAGTTTTGGCACGGTCTGTCTTAATGACCGATTAAGGTTTGGTAACTCATTGTTACTTTCCATTGCGAGTGGATTAGAGGTTTGAGATATAAGGTATGATCTATCTTTCCAGTTTTTGAAAGTAAAGGAAGTCTAAACAAATCTTCGGCTGCATATGTCAACTTTATGTTCAACAGGTGCTTTCACACATTGGGATGTGAGCGTGTGTGTGTATATATACGTTACTGTTTGTGTAAGACTGCATATGTTGTTCTGTCCTACCATACCTTATCAGAAAAGCTGGAGAACTGTCAGAATTATCGAACAAAATACTTCGTGTGATCATCATCATCACTGAGTAAATGTATTTAATGTCTAAAGCATTCTTGCTTTTTTTTCAGAAAAAAAAAGTTTTTAACTGAGCATTAGGAGATATGTCAATTATACTGTAATAGTTTTATATGTGTCCACTCTAAATGTGCTTTAAAAATGTAAAGAAACAAACTCTAATCAAATCTTCACATGATTACTATCAAATTTACAGGGAGGTCTTTTCTTTTTTTACTCTAGTCATCTCATTCTTCAAGGAACCAGGGCATTTAGAAGCTGACAAGGGGTATCTTGATTTGAATCTACACCGGTCTTTCTCTTTTGCTTAGATATAAAATATACCCTGAGCTTAGTCCAAAAGAATGGGATGCAAGTGGTGTCCTTGGCAGGGTCTGGTTACAACAGCACTGGCTATTTTTTAATTTGTGCTCACTGTGATAGTGAACTAATGAATTTCCTCCTCTCTCTTTATCCATACAGCTTGAAGTTGAGGTCACAGATATAAGTGGAAAAACCATCGATGGTCCAGTCCGCCTAGATATTTCTGTTATTGATCAAAATGATAATAGGCCTATGTTCAGAGAAGGACCCTATGTTGGTCATGTCATGGAGGGATCCCCTACAGGTAAGTCCATGCCAATCATATCTCTGTAAACAATACCTGAACAAATTCTGTATTGATAAATGCATTATTATCATATTGTATAACTTTTTTTGCTGATTTTATGGCTCACGGAATCTTTCCTGTGTATAAAGAGATGGGAGCAGCCTTTTAGGACAGCAGGTAATGATTTTTTGAAAAACAGTCAGGTCTCTGCAGTTAAAAAATATAAACTAAAGTAAAATAACATAGTTTGGAACGAAAACTTCAATTTAGGTTTACACTTTTTTATTCATATCTGGAATCAATGAAGACAACCCCTAGGATGTTATTACAATTCAGACCAAGTAAAATGTATAGTTTTTGTTCAGAGTGGGAATTCTGCCTATTTCTCTGCAAGGTTAGCTACTGGAAGGGTCATTTTTACTTGTTTATATAGCATGAGGCTAGGTAAATAATAGGAACAAGTGGAAATTATGAATATGCTGTATTGCAGGGCAGATTGAAATACTGAACAATGTTACTGATGTACATGCGGATATAACAGTTGCAACAAAATGAAAACACACTTTGAGAATTAAAGTTAGTAATGAAAATGTTCTGATTAAATTCACTGTTGATTTTGTCTGATAATGAAATTCTATAAGAATAAGATAATGTTCCAAATTTCAGTTTGGCTAAACTCTTCCTGCAGGTAAAGGCTGAATTAGTTTTCTTCAACTGTTGTTCTCAGCTGTTATGCAATTTTGTTGTGAGTTATTAAACAGCTGTTGCATTCCACTCAAGAGTATCTCCACTGCATTCGTCAGCGGTAATTGTATGATCAAATTCTGTTATGGAGTTAACCTGGATCTTGGTGAAAGAAATCTAAAACAGTAGAAGTTCCTGTTAATATCAGTGGAGTGCCAGGGATTTAATTGAGATCAGAGTTGGGGGTTATAGATATGTACGTCTTTCTACACATTGTTGAACACAAGGCCTTATCCTCCTTATACAGTTGAAGCTGTGAGTATAGACATAAGGTTTTGGCTGTATAGGCGTACTGAAATATTTTGAAATGAAAGCTGGCATCAACTACATTATTTTTATGAATATTTAGTATTAATTGAAGCTTAATGTGGTGTTATGTGCTTTGTTTACTCTGACAAGGACAGACAGCACCTCTTACTTCCTTGTATTACATATTGATAGGACTAGAAGTTATTCTTTGTCTTTATATTATTATTTACGTAATTTCTAGGAATTGTGTAACCTTTTTAGCGAGTTTCGTGTTTTCACATATAGTTGCCGTTGTTTGAAAAGCTGTAGGTATGAAATGCGTTACGAGCTGTTCCGTCATCAGATTAGTAAGAGTTTTCAGGTAAATGTTTGTTTACCTTACTTGTGACAGGCACATAATGAACCAACTGGTGATCTTTTCATTCAAACAAGAAACGTGTTTCATATTTGTGAGTATGACTGCAAGTGGAACACTAACTCTTTTGTGCTGTAGGTCTCTAGTACTTTCTTCATTTATTTCAAATATTGATCACTTATTCAGAATTCAGAAGTGACTTCTATACTGTCCCATTTCCTATTCCCCCTGTGTTATAACAAGAGTTTCATAATTAACTGAAAATATATTGCTAACTAATGTCAGAGATTCCTTTGCACAATCACTCTATAGTCTGTAGCAGAGTGTGGCTATCTAATTGGATTAAGGGACCAACTTTATTACATTTTCATTTAAACTACAGCATCTTCTTGTAGATAGACATTCCTAGACCACCGAGTGGGATGGTGTAGTTTTATTACATTCACAGCCCCTAAATCCAGTATTTCGGTAGAAGAAAGTGGTGCCAAACAGCTCAGACTCTGCAGTGTTTAAGCTTTAATCCTGCTGGTAGTATATTAGCTGCAAATTTCTGCAAGTTTTTCAGTGGTCTCATCTTTCTCTATCAAAGCAGAAGTTTACACCTTTTATGTACCACATGCCCTTCCGAAACAATATGTAATGTTTAGCTTTGTTAATTCTAGGCTGTAGGACACTATTTAACTGTTATCTGCTATATGTTCTTTCTTTACTCAAACTCTACAGCAAGTTTCTTTTCTCTGCCAAAGATTACTCTTTTTTTTTTTAACTGGCAGTGCCCTGGTTTTGCTCATCTATAAACTATCATTGCTTTTCCTTTTTTTCACTCCTTGTATTGAAATTTATACTGCTGATTCAGTAGACCTGTTTCTCAATCCAACTTCCAGTGAATTCTTCTGTAATTGTTTTCATATATTTTCTATTTCTGCGCTTTGGTACTTATCCGTGTAGTATCTGGCATTTTGATTGTCTTACCTGTTAGTCAAAGTTTGAATAATTTTTCTCAACTTCATCTTTTTCCTATCGTCTCTTTCTTTTCCCCAGATATTAATTCCATTAAACTTCATAACCTCATTTTCTGGTGTCAAGAACGCCAATACTTGAAAAATTATTTTGTGCAAAAGTGAACCTGTAGAATCAGTGTTAGCTAGAATCTGCCATAGTTCTGTATGCAGATGGCATCAGTCAACCAAAATTTCATGTTGTTTGCATCTGTTTTCCATAGTTCTTCAAGTTTTATAGCATGTATCTTAAAATTATTCATCGGGTTCTGCTGTCTGGCTGCTCCCAATCAATAGTTGCACTGCGCAGCCTGATAGCAATCTTTGTGTGCATGTGTTTGCATGTATGATTCTTGATTCTTTCTTATTGTATTAAAATTGTGTTGTTATGTTTCTTTTTTGAAGTTCCAAAAGAAAGGCATGCGTTATATGCATCATCATTATTTCCTATCACAGCCACCCTCATCCTCATTCAAACTCTGAATCAAAACCCTTCACTGAAACAGTCTTTTGCTGAAAAATAAGAAAATACTCATATAGGTACCTTGGATCTGTCTTCGTGATCACTGGGTCAAAGTGTAAATGTCCATGGATTCCAATAATTCAATAATGACAGGTGTACAATTATGTAGAAGAACATACTGGACAGTGAAAATTGCCTAAAGCATTTTGAGGTCTTGTTAAGGGATTCGGATGATCTTGCTTTAAGTTATCCATTGCTAGGTTCCTGTGAGTTTTCCTGTGGGGCCATAATTGTAGCAGTCTCAAACCCAATGGAATTTTCTAGTGGTTTCCCACTTATGTATTGACTATAAAATTGCATTTACACATTGTCTATTATTCATTAGAAATATCAGAAATTTACCAATAAATCTTGGAGAAAGTTAGCATCACAAATTTAAATATCTAAATCTTAATATTCAAGTGAATGTTTATATAGGACTTTATGTTGCTGTAAGACACGTGTTCTGGCTTTTCATTGTTTTCCAAAAAGACTTTTTGCCTAAATGATTTGAAGGTTTTGTTTCTTATGTAGGTAAGGACACAAAACTTACATGATTACAGTGAAATGTTGTGCCAAGCCACTCTTTAAGGACCCTCCTTTCTCTGCCATTGGATATAGTTGCAAGTAGGAGAAAATAAGAGACATCAATAATGTGTAATTTTTGTATTTACTTAATATGTCTATGTATAATTAAAGAATCTTTTGTGCATAGTGCCAGTGAGGATGTGTTTTGGTGGTGTTTTGATACATTTTCTGTGCTACTGAGGCCATTCACCTTTTTTCTGTGCGATTTCTAAACTCACAGTAAACACCACTGGTTATTTGGGCGTCTATGATTTATGTGTCATCACTTTACTAGAGAAACAAATACCGGGGGCATAATTATTGAGAATATAAACTTGTATATGCATTACATAAATAAATATTCATTTGAATTTCAAGCTAGGGTTTGTTACAGCTTATAATTAATGATAAAAATATGTGAATAGTAGGTGATATAGTAATGTATTTCTTCCCTGATATATCTTTCCTGGAAAGGTTTCATGATACAGTTAGATAGAGTTAATTAGACATTTTCATAGAAAATTATCATATTCCTGGAAGTCAAATTCTAGCAGAAGTGCACTCAAATGTATGCTTAAAGTGACCATAGAAGTTTTCAGATTTCTGTTAGGAGGTCTTTTCCTGGACAAACTGCAGACTTGCAGGCTGTTTATTTTTAAAAAAAAAAAGGCAATAGAGAAATAGTTTGCATTTTCTTTATTTATATAGTCTCTAATTTCTGTAAGAGACTCAAGTCAGCATATATATACCGGGAAAATAATAGCTGAGCCTGAATCAGTGACACCTGCAGCACGTTTTCTACTGACTGTGATGGGTTTTGTGTTAACTGTACTGTTGATTGCTCACATGTTTGTTTTCTAAGTTATGACCCAGTTTATTTCCTATAGATCTCTGATCTGTCTGGCTGCCAACTCCAGTGTTTAGGATCTTTATCCTACAGCACGCTTACCTCAGTACTTTAAAGAGAGTGACTGTAATCTTCTACCAGTTACGGAAGAAAGGGCAGGTGGCTCAAGAGGAGTACAGGGGTCTTGTTAGGTCATGCAGAGAGGAAATTAGAAAGGCAAAAGCCCAGCTAGAGCTCAGGCTGGCCACTGTTGTAGGGGACAACAAAAAATGTTTTTACAAATACATCATTAACAAAAAGAGGGCCAATGAGAGTCTCCATCCCTTATTGGATGCAAGGGAGGATATTGCCAACAAGGCTGAGGAGAAGGCTGAGGTAGTTAATGCCTGCTTTGCCTCAGTCTTTAACAGTCAGACTGGTTATTCCTAGGGTAGTCAGCCCCTAGTACTGGAAGATAGGGAAGGAAAGCGAAATAAACCTCTTTTAATCCAGGAGGAAGCAGTTAACAACCTGCTATGCCACCTGGACACTTACAAATCTGTGGGGCTGAATGGGATCCACCCAAGAGTGCTGAGAAAATTGGTGAAGGAGCTAGCCAAGCCACTCTCCATCATCTATCAACAGTCCTGGCAAACAGGGGAGGTACCAGATGACTGGAGGATAGCCAGTGTAACACCCATCTACAAGAAGGGTTGGAAGGAGGATCCTAGGAACTACAGGCCTGCCAGCCTGACCTTGGTGCCAGGCAAGATTGTG